TGAGAGAAAAGAAGCGAACGCCACTTCCTGCTGCACATGACAGGTTCGATCAAATTACAAATAATCTTGAAGAAAGCTCCTCTGAGCCACCTCGCCTGCCTTGATGACCGTGACCAGCCTTTTCCTTCCATTGTTCGTAAACATATTAATAGGATTGAAATACATCCCAAAATAATGCTTTTAGATGAGCCATTTGCTTTTTACCGAATCTGATGAGAAACTCCTGACGAAACTCGAAATATTGTTTTATTTCTTTCAATTGTGGCATTGTTTTGTTCCATTTCTGTGTACACTGAACTGTGTTTGTAATTGTGCCCATGCGCTTAAACATGTGCGTATATACAAATAAACATATATGACAGAACGTTCATACATACACTTGCAAAACTTTCCTGTCTCTACCTAAAAGCAGAGAATTTTTTCCTATGCATTATTTTAGATCGATTAGACTTGACCTTGACACGGATGTATGTAAAATACACTAATTCTATGCAGTGAGATAAAGCCTATATAAATGTAAAGAATTCTCCGAAATAATAAGATCTAACTCATCTCATTATGGACATACTGACTTTGTTAAAGCACGAAAGATCTTAGAATTAATGAAGAAATGAATATGTAGAAACTTACGTCTTAAAACATATATACAGACACATTTTAGTGTGAATGGTGTTGGATAGATTGTGCTTTTCACATGTAATTGACAAAGAAAACTTCAATAAACAATGTATATAACAACACAAATAAATATACTTAACAAATAACTGGCGTGCAAATGCAATCAACAGTAACTGCTGCCAATTCTTCTTATACGACACATGATTCCAACGAGAAAACCGTCCTAAAAAAATGATAATAAAAAAGGGGGGGAGAAAAAAATAGAGAGAAAAGAAAAAAGAAAGAAAAAAAAAAAACTATGAACCTTCAAAACTAAAATTTATCCAAATCTGAAACTTATGCCGAAGCATTTCCATAAAAAAGCTTTCGAAAAACGTGTCAGCGTCACGACTGCTGCCTCAAGGGTGCCACGAGTGCCGGCGCCGCGTATAAATGCAGGGACAGGCGCCGTCCAACCACACTCGAGCGCTCCTCGTCTCCTGCAGCAGTGGAAGACGGGATCCGGCATCATGAATCGCCTTATAGTGAGGAGACATTTGCTTTCAGTGTTAGATGATTTAGTTAGAATGTTTAGAGTCACTGATAGGAAGGAAACAATGGCGGCTGTTATATAAAAATGCTATTCTGGATGACTGTGATAGAAAGACTGAGTCACTGATAGGAAGGAAATATTGACGGCTGTTATATAAAAATGCTATTCTGGATGACTGTTATGATCGTGAAAAGAAAAAAACATATCGTCGATTTTTTTTGACGAAATGACAGCTTAAAGGTTTGTTCTTTTCTTCTGCAGCTTGTGACCGTGGCTGTGGTGGCCTTGGCGTACGTGGCAGCAGCTGGAGGAAGTTATGGTGGAGGCGGTAGAGGAGGTGGAGGAGGTGGATTCGGTGGTGGTGGTAGAGGAGGAGGAGGTGGATTCGGCGGACACAGATTTGGTGGAGGTGGAGGAGGATTTGGAGGCAGCGGAGGTGGATTCGGAGGAAGTGGAGGTGGATTCGGCGGCGGCCGAGGTGGTGGATTTGGCGGCGGCCGAGGCGGTGGTGGATATGGCGGAAGTGGAGGCCGAGGTGGAGGCGGAAGCGTAAACCGTGGAGTTCTGATCGGCGCCGGTAAGCTGTCTGGAGGTGGAGGTGGATTCGGCGGTGGAGGATTCGGAGGCATGGATTCGGAGGCAGTGGTGGATTCGGAGGCAGTGGTGGATTCGGTGGCGGCAGCGGAGGTTTCGGCGGTAGCGGATTCGGCGGAGGTGTGGGAGGAGGAAGAGGAAGCGGCAGTTACGGAAAGTAAGATGAACTGTCTCCATCGAAGTAGAGCAAATTCTCTACAAAAATGTAATGAAATGCGCCGAATACACTTAATAATCTTTCAAGTTTGTTTTGCATGTATATCCCCTTCTCCGATTTTTACCACAAACTAAATGGATATCTCTATCTGTCTATGTATATGGTATGTATGAGTATGTGTTCGTGCGAGTATGTGTATGTATGAGTGTGTTTGTTTGTCTGTGAGTGTGTGTATGTCCACATAAAGGAAAATCCGGTATCAATCTATCGTTAGTTGAGAATAATAATAATAAAAAAAAGATAAATAAATAAATAAATGAATAGAAATAAATAAAGAAAGGAAAAACGAAAGACCATTAAGCAATACTACTGCTCTCATATACTCCGTGCACGATGAAAAGATAACAGAGGAAAAAAAAGAAGGAAAAAGGTAACGTCGTGAGAGCCCCAACACGCCCCGCCATGACCCGGGGCCGCCTCCTTCAGCCTCCTTCAGCCTCCTTCAGCCTCCTTCAGCGCAGGGAAACGGCGCCAAGGCTGAGGGCGGCGGAGGCACCGGGCGGAAGTCGGACGAGGAGCTGAAGTCTTTCTCTTTCTAGATAACTTTTGCTCGAGCCGATTTTCTTCAGTTACTTTACGATGGTTCTGATATGATTATCGCTTTAGATACCCAACGTGAGAGAGCAAATTAATCTTTCTCGCGCGCTTGTCCGTATGTGTGAGAGAGCGAAGGAAGAGAGAGAGGAGAGAGAAGAGAGAGAGAGAGAGAAGAGAGAAGAGAAGAAGAGAAGAGAAGAGAGAGAAAGAGAAAGAGAAAGAGAGAGAGAGAAGAGAGAAGAGAGAGAGAGAGAGAAGAGAGAGAGAGAAGAGAGAGAGAGAGAGAGAGAGAGAGAGAGAGAGAGAGAGGAGAGAGAGAGAGAGAAGAGAGAGAGAGAGAGAGAGAGAGAGAGAGAGAGAGAGAGAGAGAGAGAGAGAGAGAGAGAGAGAGAGAGAGAGAGAAGAGAAGAGAAGAGAGAGAGAGAGAAAAAAATGTTCTCAGTGATTTAATTTCTTAAATTGCTATTTATATTGAAGATTTTGAATGAGAGAAAAGAAGCGAACGCCACTTCCTGCTGCACATGACAGGTTTGATCAAATTACAAATAATCTTGAAGAAAGCTCCTCTGAGCCACCTCGCCTGCCTTGATGACCGTGACCAGCCTTTTCCTTCCATTGTTCGTAAACAAATGAATAGAATTGATATACATCCCAAAATAATGTTTTTAGATGAGCTATTTGCTTTTTTCCGGATCTGATGAGAAACTCCTGACGAGCTCGAAACATTACGTTATATTTCTTTCAATTATGGCAGTGTTTTGTTCCATTTCTGTGTACACTGAACTGTGTTTGTAATTGTGCCCATGCGCTTAAACATGTGCGTATATACAAATAAACATATATGACAGAACGTTCATACATACACTTGCAAAACTTTCCTGTCTCTACCTAAAGCAGAATTTTTTTTTCCTATGCATTATTTTAGATCGATTAGACTTGACCTTGACACTGATGTATGTAAAATACACTAATTCTATGCAGTGAGATAAAGCCTATATAAATGTAAAGAATTCTCCGAAATAATAAGATCTAACTCATCTCATTATGGACATACTGACTTTGTTAAAGCACGAAAGATCTTAGAATTAATGAAAAAATGAATATGTAGAAAATTACGTCTTAAAACATATATATAGACATTTTTAGTGTGAATGGTGTTGGATTGCGTGTATTTTTCACATGTAATTGACAAAGAAAACTTCAATAAACAATGTATATAACAATACAATTAAAATATACTTAACAAATAACTGGCGTGCAAATGCAATCAACAGTAACTGCTGCCAATTCTTCTTATACGACACATGATTCCAACGAGAAAACCGTCCTAAAAAACAACAAAAAAATGACAATAAAAAGGGGGGGGGGGGGGAAATAGAGAAAGAAGAAAGAAAAAAAAAAAACTATGAACCTTCAAAACTAAAATTTACCCAAATCTGAAACTTATGCCGAAGCATTTTCATAAAAAAGCTTTCGAAAAACGTGCGTCACGTCACGACTGCTGCCTCAAGGGTGCCACGAGTGCCGGCGCCGTGTATAAATGCAGGGACAGGCGCCGTCCAACCACACTCGAGCGCTCCTCGTCTCCTGCAGCAGTGGAAGACGGGATCCGGCATCATGAATCGCCTTATAGTGAGGAGACATTTGCTTTCAGTGTTAGATGATTTAGTTAGATTGTTTAGAGTCACTGATAGAAAGACTGAGTCACTGATAGGAAGGAAATATTGACGGCTGTTATATAAAAATGCTATTCTGGATGACTGTTATGATCGTGAAAAGAAAAACATGATATTTTTTTTGACGAAATGACAGCTTAAAGGTTTGTTCTTTTCTTCTGCAGCTTGTGACCGTGGCTGTGGTGGCCTTGGCGTACGTGGCAGCAGCTGGAGGAAGTTATGGTGGAGGCGGTAGAGGAGGTGGAGGCGGAGGTGGATTCGGCGGAGGTGGAAGAGGAGGAGGAGGTGGATTCGGCGGACACAGATTTGGTGAGGTGGAGGAGGGTTTGGAGGAGCGGAGGTGGATTCGGAGGAAGTGGAGGTGGATTCGGTGGCGGCCGAGGTGGTGGATTTGGCGGCGGCCGAGGCGGTGGTGGATATGGCGGAAGTGGAGGCCGAGGTGGAGGCGGAAGCGTAAGCCGTGGAGTTCTGATCGGCGCCGGTAAGCTGTCTGGAGGTGGAGGTGGATTCGGCGGTGGAGGATTCGGTGGCAGTGGTGGATTCGGAGGCAGCGGTGGATTCGGAGGGCAGTGGTGGATTCGGAGGCGGCAGCGGAGGTTTCGGCGGTAGCGGATTCGGCGGAGGTGTGGGAGGAGGAAGAGGAAGCGGCAGTTACGGAAAGTAAGACGAACTGTCTCCATCGAAGTAGAGCAAATTCTCTACAAAAATGTAATGAAATGCGCCGAATACACTTAATAATCTTTCAAGTTTGTTTTGCATGTATATCCCTTCTCCGATTTTTTACCACAAACTAAACGGATACTTCTATCTGTCTATGTACATGGTGTGCATGAGTATGTGTTCGTGCGAGTATGTGTATGTATGAGTGTGTTTGTGAGTGTGTGTGTATGTCCACATAAAGGGACATATCAGGAAAATCCGATATCAATTTATCGTCCGTTCAGAATAATAATAAATTAAAACAAAAGATAAATCAAATAAATAAAATGAATAGAAATAATTAATGAAAGAAAGGAAAAACGAAAGACCATTAAGCAATATTACTGCTCTCATATACTCCGTGCACGATGAAAAGATAACAAGGAAAAGGAGAAGGAAAAGGGTAACGTCGTGAGAGCCCCAACACGCCCCGCCTTGAACCGCGGCTGAGGGCGGCGGAGGCACCGGGCGGAAGTCGGAAGAAGAACTGAAGTCTTTCTCTTTCTAGATCACTCTCGCTCAGGCCACACACACACACACACACACACAGCACACACACACACACACACACACACAAGCACGCACACACACACACACACACACACACAAGCACGCACACACACACACACGCAAGCACAAACGCTCACACACACATATGTGTGTGTGTAAGCATATAAAATATGATATAACCATAATCAGTATCAGACTTGCCGAAGGATTAACCCAAGAGGAAAAACAGAAAATAATTTTCCCCTATCTGTCTCTCTGTCTTTATATATAGCGAGTAATTATGCGTGTGAGAGAGAAACGTGAGTTCCCCGAGATCTTTTTTCCTTCATCTGTTATCAATATGGAGGATTTTGAGGAGAGAAAAGACGCGTTCAATACTTCCTGTTGCGCATTGGAGGTTTGTGCAAAATTAATGACAGCTTCTCATAATCACTTTCCTTCCACATTTCATAAACATATTTAAGGGAGTGACATATATCTCAGATTAATGTCTTTAGATGAGCCATTCGTACAACACCTACATGTAGCAACCAGACTGACAAGCACACAAATGCACATAAAGGATGTCGCTTTTTGCCATATCTGGGGAAAAAGGTGACGACTTAGAAACAAGTATATATTTCTTTTCATTGTGGCAGTGTTTTGTTTCACGTGTGGCACTCTGTATGTTTTGTTTTGATACATACAAACACTTGCTTATGTATATAGACACACACTCTATAGACACAAAAATAAAAATAATAAGACATGTGCACGTACGTACACACACACGCACGCGACCAAACACTGCAAGCTTTATCCCATCTATAGTTACAAGCAGAGAATTTTTCTTTTAGGACTATTTTAGCTGAGTGTGATAGTCAAACGAGTGAAATATCCCATGATAATCATTGATGGGATTCTATAAACCTTAAATCTATCGCGTGTATCTATAGAAATAGACTAATTCGGGGCAACAAGATAATGAAAATTCTCTAGAGTAATTTGGTCTAAGAATTATCGCATTACACAATGACTTTGCTAAAGTATGAAAAAGTACATTATTTCGAATCGAATTTGGATGTGTAGAAAATTGCGCCTTAAGTATACGTATAGGCACGTTAGTTAAAGAGAATGGCGCATGATAGAGTGTGCCTTTTACATGTGTTATACTAAAAACACTATTAGAATGCATTCACATTGATTTAACAAATAACTGACGCACAAAGACACCCAACAGTAATTCTTAACAATTCTTCTTATATGATACATGAGTGCCAAACGGAAAAAAATGTCCTTTTAAACAAGATGTGATCAATGTTATGAATCTTGAATACTAGTGTTTTACCAAAGACTGAAACTTATGCCAAAGCATTTCCATAAAAAAAAGGCTTTCGAAAAACGTGTCAGCGTCACGACTGCTGCCTCAAGGGTGCCACGAGTGCCGGCGCCGCGTATAAATGCAGGGACAGGCGCCGTCCAACCACACTCGAGCGCTCCTCGTCTCCTGCAGCAGTGGAAGACGGGATCCGGCATCATGAATCGCCTTATAGTGAGGAGACATCTGCTTTCAGTGTTAGATGATTTAGTTAGAATGTTTAGAGTCACTGATAGGAAGGAAACAATGGCGGCTGTTATATAAAAATGCTATTCTGGATGACTGTTATGATCGTGAAAAGAAAAAAACATATCGTCGATTTTTTTTTTGACGAAATGACAGCTTACAGTTTTCTTCTTTTTTTTTTTTTCTGCAGCTTGTGACCGTGGCTGTGGTGGCCTTGGCGTACGTGGCAGCAGCTGGAGGAAGTTATGGTGGAGGCGGTAGAGGAGGTGGAGGCGGAGGTGGATTCGGTGGTGGTGGTGGTAGAGGAGGAGGAGGTGGATTCGGCGGACACAGATTTGGTGGAGGTGGAGGAGGATTTGGAGGCAGCGGAGGTGGATTCGGAGGAAGTGGAGGTGGATTCGGCGGCGGCCGAGGAGGTGGTGGATTTGGCGGCGGCGAGGAGGTGGTGGATATGCGGAAGTGGAGGCCGAGGTGGAGGCGGAAGCGTAAGCCGTGGAGTTTCTGATCGGCGCTGGTAAGCTGTCTGGAGGTGGAGGTGGTTTCGCGGTGGAGGATTCGGAGGCAGTGGTGGATT